CAGCCTCCCGAACAAGCCGGTTTCCGAAAGGGCTTTAGCACCATAGACCACATACATACCCTTCGGCAAATTCTACAGAAGTCCGAAGAGTACAATTTGCCACTATGTCTGGCGTATGTGGACTATGAGAAAGCCTTTGATTCCGTCGAAATTTGGGCGGTGCTGCAGTCCCTTCAGCAGTGCCAAGTTGACTGTCGGTATATCGAAGTGTTAAAGTGTTTGTACAGTAGAGCTACGATGGCTATCCGAGTACAGAACCAGAGTACGAAACCTATCCAATTGCAGAGAGGTGTAAGACAGGGTGACGTCATATCCCCGAAACTCTTCACCGCTGCATTTGAAGACGTTTTCAAGCTTCTGGATTGGAAAGGATACGGTATCAACATCAATGGCGAGTACATTACTCACCTTCGATTTGCCGACGATATAGTCCTTATAGCAGAATCGCTGGAGGACCTAAGCACTATGCTCAATGACCTCAATAGTGTCTCCCAACGGATAGGTCTTAAGATGAACATGGACAAAACAAAGATTATGTTTAATGTCCATGTCACACCTATGCCGGTAGTTGTTGGGAGCACTAAGCTCGAAGTTGTTGACGAGTATGTTTACCTGGGATAAATAGTCCGACTAGGTAAGTCCAACTTCGACCAAGAGGTCAATCGACGGATTCAACTCGGCTGGGCAGCGTTCGGGAAGCTACGACACATTTTCTCGTCAGACATACCTCAAAACCTTAAAGCGAAATTGTACAACCAGTGCGTGTTGCCAGTGATGACTTACGGAGCTGAGACGTGGTCCTTCACAGCTGGCCGTTTGAGGAAGCTCAAGGTCGCTCAGCGAGCTATGGAGAGGGCTATGCTCGGAGTTTCTCTGCGTGATAAACTTAGAAATGAGGATATCCGCAGTAGAACTAGAGTAACCGACATAGCTCAACGGATTAGTAAGCTGAAGTGGCAGTGGGCCGGCCATATAGCTCGAAGAACCGACAACCGATGGGGAAGAAAGGTTCTCGAGTGGCAGCCTCGTACCGGTAGGCGAAGTGTAGGGCGACCCCCCTCGAGATGGAGTGACGACCTGGTAAGGCATGCAGGAAGTCGATGGATGCAGGTGGCTCAGGACCGTGCTTTGTGGCATTCCTTGGGGGAGGCCTATGTTCAGCAGTGGACTTATGAAAGGCTGTAATGATGATGAAATGATGATGATGAAAAGAAAATAAATAACTTGTAAATTCAAACAAAAATAACTGCATTACTATGTCTATAGTCATATTCATACAAATCAAAAAGCCTATATATGAGATAAAGTAAGCATAATTTTACCGGGATCATAACTTGTCAAATAATTAGGAAAATGATCGTTTTTCGTTGCGTATGTACTTGTTTTGATTTTTAATTTAACACTGTTAGGTTTAAAACTGCGAGGTAATATTTGAATAAATGTACTTTCCTCTAGGTACAAATAATTTTTTAGATGACAATATTTGTAGTTAAGACTACTAGAAATCTTATTTATGGAGCAAAAAGGCGAAAAGACTGGAATTAGGGGCATGACTGGTATTAGGGGCATCCACTCTAATTCGGTAAAAAGTATCTAAGTAGGTATTAATATACCTCCTACTTTTTACTATGAACTAAAAATTTTTTAAACTGAATTTAACTAAAAAAAAAACTAAACTGACCATTTATTTTTTATCTCAAAACAGGACATGGGTTTATTTATACTCTAAAAACTATAACTTTATACAATTAGTGTTCACTATAAAATTATATTCAGTATAGACGGTAATTATTAAATGCAACAATTTTTTTTAATTATTTATTACATTTTTCAGTGGATTAAATTTGCTTTAATAAAGTTGGTGATGATTTTAAATAAGAATAAAATTCTGGTCAAGTTTTTTTAACCTTTGTTAACAACATCGCCTTTAGAACTGGAATCGTAAGTGTTTTTTTCAGACGTTCACAATTTATTCAAAATAGAAAAATACTCTTTCTACTGGAGCATTTGTACCAGGTAGACATAAAATATATTTGATTAAAAAAATTATGTTGAAGATTGTTGACTTTGAATACTTCTATCCAACGAGTTACGGGACAACTTTGTGTCCCGGACCTTTGTTTGGGGACAATGGGACAGGTGACCGAAAAAAGGAACAGTCCCGTTCAAAACGGGACGTATGGTCACTTTAGCTATAACCCGGCGACTGCTCCGTGGCGCAGTAGCTTAGCAATCACTTGTTGCGCTGGCGGCCGCTGGTTCGAATCCCGCACGGAACAAGTATTTGTATGGCCTACAAATAATTGTTCCGGGTCTGGAGGTTTGTCCTTGTGCAATTTATGTTTGTAAACTGCCTCCACGACACAGGAGAAAATCCTAGTGTGGGGTAAACGTTTTTTTTTAAATTGTAATTGAAAGATTGAACCCTTATACTTCTTGTTAATTTTTGTATTACCTTTATTAAAATTACCCTTATGTATAAATAAATATAATTACGTATGTAGAAATAAAATTGAATAAAAATTAAAACAAACATGTTTTTTTTTCATCCTCATCAATCATTGGGGTGAGGATAATATCAGCCAGCATGAGTAATAAGCAGGCTAAGTTACAAGGTGCTCAGTTCAAAAATTAGTAGGTAGGTATGTTACTTTTCAATACGTGACACGTAAAAATTAACAATAATCAAAGACACATCTGCGAAACATCATATTAATTTATTTATTCTTTACTGCACCAAATATTTGTACAAAAGGCGAGTTATCTATCTATTTACCTATAGTGAATAGGTATCTTTTAAACTTACAATTTTCAATGCTTCATTTTTAATATATAATTAATTATAAAATTTCATAACTAGATAATATATGAGAATACATAATTCTAATATAATGCAATTAATATACCGAATAAAAAAATTAAAATACATTTATCGTTGTACACGCAAGTGTGAGTAACGATCCAAGAGCGAGTCTCATCCGACACTATTCCGAAGATATCCCGGATGTCAGTCTGAGCGAGATTAGGATGGCTCTCCAGCACCTTAAAAACGGTAAGGCCCCAGGCGAGGATGGAATTACAGCGGAGCTTCTGAAAGCGGGTGGAAGACCGGTACTTGAAGTCCTTCAGAAGCTCTTTAATTCCGTCCTCCATGGTGACATTACACCGGAGGCGTGGAGCAGAAGTGCGGTGGTCTTGTTCTTCAAGAAAGGTGACAACGCTCTCTTGAAGAACTACAGACCGATTTTCCTTCTGAGCCGCGTCTACGTGCTGTTTTCGAGAGTCATTACGAATCGTCTCGCGCGCAGACTTGACGACTTCCAGCCTCCCGAACAAGCCGGTTTCCGAAAGGGCTTTAGCACCATAGACCACATACATACCCTTCGGCAAGTTGTACAGAAGTCCGAAGAGTACAATTTGCCACTATGTCTGGCGTATGTGGACTATGAGAAAGCCTTTGATTCCGTCGAAATTTGGGCGGTGCTGCAGTCCCTTCAGCGGTGCCAAGTTGACTGTCGGTATATCGAAGTGTTGAAGTGCTTGTACAGTAGGGCTACGATGGCTATCCGAGTACAGAACCAGAGTACGAAACCTATCCAATTGCAGAGAGGTGTAAGACAGGGTGACGTCATATCCCCGAAACTCTTCACCGCTGCATTGGAAGACGTTTTCAAGCTTCTGGACTGGAAAGGATACGGTATCAACATCAATGGCGAGTACATCACTCACCTTCGATTTGCCGACGATATAGTCCTTATGGCAGAATCGCTGGAGGACCTAAGCACTATGCTCAATGACCTCAATAGTGTTTCCCAACGGATAGGTCTTAAGATGAACATGGACAAAACTAAGATCATGTTTAATGTCCATGTCACACCTATGCCGATAGTTGTTGGGAACACTAAGCTCGAAGTTGTTGACGAGTATGTTTACCTGGGACAAATAGTCCGACTGGGTAAGTCCAACTTCGACCGAGAGGTCAATCGACGGATTCAACTCGGCTGGGCAGCGTTCGGGAAGCTACGACACATCTTCTCGTCAGACATACCTCAAAACCTTAAAACGAAATTGTACAACCAGTGCGTGTTGCCAGTGATGACTTACGGAACTGAGACGTGGTCCTTCACTGCTGGCCGTATGAGGAAGCTCAAGGTCGCTCAGCGAGCTATGGAGAGGGCTATGCTCGGAGTTTCTCTGCGTGATAAACTTAGGAATGAGGATATCCGCAGTAGAACCAGAGTGACCGACATAGCCCAACGGATTAGTAAGCTGAAGTGGCAGTGGGCCGGCCATATAGCTCGAAGAACCGACAACCGATGGGGAAGAAAGGTTCTCGAGTGGCAGCCTCGTACCGGTAGGCGAAGTGTAGGGCGTCCCCCCACGAGATGGAGTGACGACCTGGTAAGACATGCAGGAAGTCGATGGATGCAGGTGGCTCATGACCGTGTTTTGTGGCATTCTTTGGGGGAGGCCTATGTTCAGCAGTGGACTTGTGAAGGGCTGTAATGATGAAATGATATCGTTGTACGCTGTGTGTATTTCCATAAAATAGTTTATTGATGTTGAAAAAATAATACTACGTTCGTACAGTAGCTGGCGTCTTACATATTTCTTACGCAATATATTGTAGCGAGTCGGCGCGGCGGACCAAATGCTCAAGGTCGTTCGCATGGAGTAGCCCCTTAACCAGTGACGTCACGTCGGTATCTAATATGGCAGACAGCGTTTTGTAGATTTAAGGCACAGATTAAAAAAATATTCTTATAAATTGAAATATAAAATTTATAATGCATTTTTATATATAGAAATCAATATTTCTCGTTTACTTTTTACAAAATCTGTCATAAATATATATTTTTGAATTTTGTTTACAAAGTGTAAAATACCCTATAGCCGATCTTTAAGTATACATAGAAGTGTTTGTTTATATTATTTAATTTAAAAATGGCGGTTACACAAAGCACTACTGGGAGCCGATATACTCGTACATGTGAATGCAGGCAGCTTTCCCGCGCTGGAGGTGATGGTGCGGGGTGAGCCGCGCGAGGTGGTCGTGCAGAGTGCGGGGGGCGCGGGGCGGGCGGGGCGCGCGCTGGCCGCGCTGCTGGCCGCCGCCGCGCGCCGCCTGCGCTACCCGCGCGTGCGCCTGCTGCCGCCCCCGCACTCACACACGCACGACTCCCCTGCGACCGCAGCTCGGTGAGACCGCACCCCTCGATCCTCTTTCACAAACACTTCTATGTATACTACAAGACCGGCAATTCAGAACCTGTATCACAGCTGTGAATCGCGCGAGCGCGGTAGCTGGCGTTGCAAATGTGTCACGAAGTAATATTTTCATTTACGACACTTACTATTTTTGGTATATACGGAATAAAGTTGTTACATACTTATCTGTAATAAATTTTATCACGTTGATAAAGTACCTACGCACAAAAATAATGACAGCGTTTTCTTAGTCATATCAAACAAAATCAGTGTTAGACTGTCGAAAACAACATTCGCGGCTCAAACAAAACAAAGAACTAGTGCGTAGTGTATTATAGTGGGTTACAGAGCCCGTCTTGTGGTATACATGTAAATCTTTACTCTTTTATACTATTTGATAATTAAACTAACAACGGAGATAACAGTCTACCTGATGGTAATGGACTACTGCAAGCCTACCCGAGGTTAAGCCACGTATCATCACAGAACACATCAGGGACCTCGCAAAATCATCACACACCTACCTCACCTATGTTGATGAGTGCAGAGCCAATATTTGAATTGGTAATTATTTCCTTCAACGTGGGGTTTTGTTTCGGGTCAGAGCCTCTCACTTCAGTTAACAGGACAAGGTGACATGTGAGAAAACATTGTCATACTCAGCTTTCCAGCGCTGGTACAAATATTAAATAACTGATAAATATTGTATAAGTAATATTGAAAATCGTTTTATAATTGCATTCATTGTTCGACTCGATAAGTGTCATTCAAGTAGATAGATATTTATAATCGAAATTAACCCTCTCGGAACCCTTAACAAAAATTAAGGATCTCACTATATGTCGAATGCAACTTAATTGACATACATAAATACCATTTACAGGGAACATTTTGTATTTATTAAATTTTATAACTTTACTTGAACAGAACTGTGTACACGGTGAAAGAATCTAAGGAAATTGTTACATTTCATAATGTTGGAATATTTTAATTCCAAATGCGAAACATTTGGTAGTGGCATTTAACTGAAGTGCTATGGGCCGGGGTTTCGAATCTCGCACGGAAGAAATATTTTTATGGTCTACATATAATTGTTCCGGGTCTGGATGTTTGTCCCTATGAAACTTATTTGTGTAAACACGAGAAAATAGACGATACATGAGAAAATCCTAGTGTAGAGGTGACCATGCTTGCTATAAAGTACTCGAAACGTCGAGAATATAAAACTATTGCAAACTAGTTTCATTCAAATAAATTTTGTAAAGTATATGTCAAATGCAGGGTAACGATTTGTCAAATTTATCGACATGGAACAACCTTAAAACCATAAAAGTGTGGTACATGTCTATAACGATACTGAGATCATCGATCAACCGACCTAGCAGAGCGATTACCAAGATGAAGGCAGCCCTTATCTAACAGTGAATTGTTACGGGCAATTGTTACTGAAAAAGTAATTATAAACAGAACGACCAATCAACATCATAGTATTAAACTTAACACATTTCTGTAAACATTTCCCAGAATAAATCTGCTAGTAAAAGTGGGGTGTGACAATGTAGAAGGGCTGCGCATGGACGCAGCACCGCACCTTCACGTCCGCTTAGCGCCCCACGCTCACCATTGCTACTCCGCACGCGTCTGGCCCTTCTACGCACACGAATCCAACCTACGTGATTGCGACTTTCTCCGTGTGGCTGACTTAGCAGAATGGCGAGGGTAAATTTGAAAATCACACCAATTCCTTTTGTGTCGCGGTACCTGGTCGGTCCATTTACCCATATACACACATCAACAGAATCTAGGGATATTTTAATCCTAAATTATTTACTTTATAGTTTAAAATCTTTTTAGTTTCCATCAAAAGTTTATATACAGATTGAAACCTCTTTTATTCTATTTTCGGAATTTAAAAATGTAAATAGAAAAAAAACAAGAGAAAAAGAAAAAATTGTTAGTAATTCAATACGTCAAAGAAAATTAAAATTCTTCTTCTGATATTAATTATTGAAAAGGGATTAGAATGTTTTTCTTTTTTAATTTTACGTGCCGTGTGAGCTTTAAGAGTCATGTCACGTCGTCATTTGTGTCATGGTGAAATGTTACGAGCCGTGGGTTTGTTAGATAATGGTGCTATTCAACGAGTCGTTTCTGACGCCCTACACACCAGAAAAACGTGATCTCAAGGTTATGGTACGTTATCGCAATGCTGGGGATGTGGCTGAATGGTACATGGGTAGATATCTGTATTACTACGCAGAGACAGGATGGATTTCTCCAAATGACCGCCAGAAGACAACCCAATATCACAGCGATGCAACTACTACAAAGGCTCCAGGAGGGCCACCAGCTGCTGGTAAGCGACCAAACCATGCAAAGGAGTTTGCATGAAGTTGGTCTTTATGCTCAAAGACCGCTACATGTTCCAGCATTGCGACGTGGCAATCGCGGTCGGCGGCTTTCGTGGGCTCGGGAACATTTACCATGGAGTGAAAAACAAAATGAGGCCCGCTTTGGATTTCATCCTGATTCACGAATAACACGCGTTTGGAGAACTCCAGTGAGAGTTAGCCGTCTACGGCACCCTCAGGAGGTCCACTCATACCAAGGCGGGACAATCATGGTGTGGGCAGGAGTTCATCTTGGCGGACGAACCCAGCTAGCTTGGATCTAAGGCAGCATGACTGCACAAAAATACCACAAGGAAGTAGTAGAGCCTGTTATTGTCCCACACAGAATCCAAATGGGCCGGGAATTTCTATTCATGCACGATATTGCTCCCTCCCATACGGCGCAGCTGATATTAGCCGCTCTCCGAGACCATGATATTCAAGTTTTGGATTGACCTGCACAGTCACCCGACTTAAATCCTATCGAGCATGCCTGGGACATATTACAACGAAAATCTTAGTGAGATTTCCCGCCAAATTTGACTACGGAACAACAACTTTAGGAACACTTACAAAGAACATAGGACCTGATACCGCAGCAAGACATTGACAATTTAATTTTAAGCATGAACAATCCAAGGAGGTTATAATATACGTCCTTGGAACAATCCATGTCGATGTGCAAGTGGGAAAAAATGACACAGCACAACAAGAAAATCTTCTGGCATGCAAAACAAGAGCTAAAAATTAAGCAGAATTTCAAATACGTTTGGTTCAAAAAGGGTTTGATTAAGGCATGCAAAGAAGATAAAGGTAAAGTTTTCATTCTAAGAAGCTTGGACGACATAAATTCACTAGCTAATAACAAGCTGTGAAATCTTTCATTTTATTTAGGATTTTTTTTTGTATACTATTTTTTATATATATTTTGTTTTTATTTTATATTATTATTCGTATATTCTTTTTCTATTGATCTCTGATAACCCATTTGTTTAAAAAAAAAAGGTATGGAACCTATCGAATACGAAATTAAAGAATTCGCAAACTGTGTAAACGCAAATCAGTTTTGTAATTATCTACCTAAAAATCAAAATATCAACCTATTATGTATGCACATTAATATCCGTTCTACCATAAAAAACTTCTCCTATCTAGAACAATGTATATTTAGTTGTTCAAAATGCTTAGACGTAATAATATTAACAGAGGCAAATATCTCAGATAACACCAGTAGTTTGTATCATATTAATGGATATCAAATGATAACGGACCTGCGGGTAACACGTCGAGGTGGTGGCATTATCATCTACATTAGCAATAAACATAAATATAAAACTAAAAAATACAAAGCAAAATTTTGTGAAAGTCTCATATGCACAGTCACCACTCCGACCTGTTATTCCGCGGATATTTGCGCAGTGTACCGCCCTCCTAGTACGAGCAAAAATCTTTTTATTGACGAGCTATTTAATACACTTAAGAGTCACTGCAACAACAACGATTTGTATTTACTGGGTGATATTAACATTGACTTAAAAGCGGACACTCCAGTTAAGCATCGGTACAACAACTCGCTGCATAGCTTGGGTCTTGTATGTGGGATCACAGAATATACAAGAATAGAACTATCCGATGGAATACTGAGGAAATCATGTATAGATCATATATATGCTAGATCCCTCAGCCAGGACCTTTTCACTGCAGCTATTGGAACAACACTGGCGGATCATCGCGCAGTGATGCTTGCATGCGTCGGGCCGCATATACAGGTTGTGCCTAAATTTAAGATCTGCATCAATAATACTAATCTCATGAAATCATTAAATGATATTAATTGGGAAAAAACTAATAACATGACATGTCCCTCAGCGATATATAAATTTATACAAAGTAGTTTTACACAATGCTATGAAAAATCTAAATTTCAAATAAAAATACAACCTAATATAAAACGAATAACTAATGATTGGATAAATAAAAAAATTATAAATGCATGTACACATAGGGATAAATTATTTACACGGTGGATAAAGGATACCGGCAATATGACTTTAAAAAAAGAATATAATAAATCAAGAAATTATGCTAATAAATTAATAAACAAGACCAAAAACAATAAATTAAGAGCTGAAATTATAAACAGTAAAAACAACCCTAGACACTTATGGCAAATACTAAATAAAATAACAGGTAGAATTAAATCATGTATAGATGAGACATTAATAAAGGCATTTAAAGACAACAACACAACTGACAAAGACATTGCAAATTCATTTGCTACCACATTTGAAAAAAGTGTCCATAAAATAATTCCCAATTGCCCAAAACAGTTGCTTGATGAATCAGCCTACAGAAGGTCTGCTGAATTATCTATGAGATTTAAGGCGGCTGATTCCGACTCTGTAGAAAAAATTATTAATGCATTAAATAGTTACAAAACTCCTGGTTTTGATGGCATTAGAGCCATTGATATAAAAAATATTTGCAAAAAAATTAATATAGCCATTGCTAATCTCATCAATGCAAGCATTAAGATGAGTAACTATCCCAATGAATTGAAAATCGGTATTGTCAGACCGATATACAAAAAAGGTGGAACATCGGAATACGAAAACTATAGGCCAATAACTATTCTTCCGACAATTGATAAAATTGTTGAAAAATATATTTGTAAACAAATTTATGAGTTTTATGACAACAACAAAATACTACAAGAAAAACAATATGGGTTTCAGCCTCATAAGAATACATCACAGTTGTTAACATCATTTACTAATAGTATATACAAACATCTAAACGAAAAGAAACACATATTTGTAGTATTCATCGACTACAGTAAAGCTTTTGACACACTCAGGCATGATAAGCTTATAAATAGTTTGCATGATAGTGGGATTAGAGGACCTTTATTAAATTGGTGCAAGGATTACCTTGCAAACAGGAAGTTTGTAGTAAAAGTGAAAGATGCATTAAGCAAAACTGTAAATGTAACTTTGGGTACGGCTCAAGGATCAGTGTTGGGCCCGTTACACTATCTCACATATGTTAATAACTTAATAAACACATTGAAACATTGTGAAATATATCAATACGCAGATGACACATGTTTATTTATAGCTGGGAAAAATATCAATCACACCATGAGTCAACTGCAAGATGACTTTAACGTGTTAATCAAATGGTCGCATGACATGGGCCTAGTAATTAATTTTAATAAAACTAAAGTTATGTACATCAGTAGTACCAAAAACAGAAGTGACAATATACCCAAACTAATAGCTCATAGCCACCAGTGCTTACACACTACAAGCGTGTCCTGCAGCTGTTTCAATATTGATGTAGTGGAACAACATACCTACCTTGGGCTTATCATTGATAGTCACCTTAGCTGGAAAGGGCATATTGACCATGTATGCGATAGACTTCGAGGAATTCTAGCCAAATTCTCCTTAATAAAATACAAAATACCATTCAATATAAGAATACAATTATATATCTCATTAGCAGAATCCATAATATCGTATGGTCTTTCTAGCTATGGTAGGACCTATAAAACACACCTAGACCGTATTTACACCTTACAACTCCGTATTTTAAAAACCTTACTACCAAAAACTGTCATGAACAAATTTAAAGACCAACAACATAATATCTTTGATTTTTGTAAAATATTACCTGTACATAATAAAGTAAAGTATATATTACTTATTGAAAATTTTTTTAATAAAAATCTACAAATTCCAATACAATACAATTTTAACACACGAAAGTCAAAGACGCCAAACTTAGCTTTACCAAAATTCATAAATCTATATGGAAAACGAACGTTAGAATACATGATTCCCGATATCATAAACAAACTTCCATCACAACTAAAAGAACAAATTAATCAACGCAACATCAAAAATATATTAAAGAATTATTTCTTAAGTAACCTATAATAAAAAAGAATTGTAAAATAAAAATAAAAATTTGTATTATAAGTTACACATTAATATTCTACAACTCTATCAATAATATAAAATAAGTTTATCTTTAATATCATTAATTAGTATCAAAGTATATGAACAGCCTGTATGTGCGAACTCGACGCGTCAAGCCAGGTAGGCAAAGAATGCACTAAGACCCGAGAACAAACCGGTTTCTTGACTGTACGGGGAGCGCGGTTCAATGCGTGCATCACAACATTATGATGTATGACATAATTATTACGAATAACAATTATTATGATATGTTTGTTGATGGCATCGGTATACGGTAAAGCTGTATAGCTTATGTTTATGCCGTAAAATATCAATTTAAATATTGTCTAATTATTATCAAATAAATAAATAAAAAAAAAAAATTAATGTAAGAGTTGGCAACACTGATTATTATTAATTAGACTTTATTATTTTTGCAATTTTAATTAAAATTAATAGTTTTATAAGAAGAAATGATATTTTATTATCATACTAATTTTCTACAACGATTAAAATTTTAACATTTCATTTAAAAGAAAAAAAATTACGAAATGTTTATTATTTTTCATTAAAGACCTTAAAATAACCTATCACTATTCCATATATATATATATTTACTATATCAGAAAATTCTTCATAGATTTTTATATATTTAATGATATTATATTATCAGATATTATTCAATATCCTGAGATTCTGTTAATGTATATACTTCAACCCTTGTTCGATCAGAATAGAATAGAATAGAATAATTTTTATTCAATATAAATTACATGTGTAATTCTTATTGAAAGTCATTTTTTACTTTACCACTGATTCGAAAAAAAACCCTCTGTCCTGGGAAGAACCAGCAAGAAACCCAGCGGGACTTTTTTTTAAAATAAATTTTACAATATAAATGATTACGAACTATTTACAAAATTTATTTTAGAAACTGTTTGGAAGCGACCACCTCATTCCCAGGGGTTATTATCAACCATGTATTCATTTATACTATAATAACCCTTTTTATACAGTTTCAGCTTAATAAAACATTTAAACTTGGTAATAGAGAGAACCTGTACACCTTTCGGGACCTTGTAATAGCGTATACATTGCTCCAAGAATGAATTACTGACTCTATGGAATCGAGAAACTGGCATCATTAGCTTGTGTTTGTTACTAGTGTTTACAGAATGTATATCACTTTTTTTACTAAAACTACCTTTGTTTTTGTGAAGATACATTAAATTTTCGTAAATATACTGAGAGGCCAAAGTTAATATATTTATTTCTTTAAATTTATCTCTAAGAGACTCTCTCGGTTTTAGATTGTCAATAGCTCTAATGGCCCTCCTCTAACATTCGTTGTTATAAGTAGAGAGCTGCTTAAATTATGTATCACAATGCAGAGGTAGGGTTCCGTAGTTGCCCGTCACAATACGTGGGCTTTCTTGATAATGAGCATGATAAGTGAATTCGCGGTTTGACGACGTAATGACGATGAAACGACTAAAAATAGGCCCAAGTAGGATCTATAGGATAGGAAAAACTGAAGGTAAGCCGGGCTAACCATGACATTGGGACGGGACGTGAAACACCTCAGTCACATACGTCTTTGTCAGTCACCCTCCTGACCATGGGAGCTGTACGCGAAACGTCGGGAATCATAAAGTTAAATTAAACGCGATGGAATCCGTAAAAATTAGTTTCGTTTAATGTGTAGTCTTCGCGTAAATATAAGAAATCATTAATTAAAAACATTTGGAAGAAATGTTCCCACTGGCGAAACTTTGCAATTAAAGTTAAATAATCATTTAAAAATTAGTAAAAATAAATAACAACAACAAAACATGAGAAGTTCATTATGTCCGTTATTATCTTTTAAATATTCATCTTTATAAATAAGCTTTTTACGCATGTAAGAAGCATTCTTATGAGGAAAGGATTGAATTTTTTGATGATTTGAATTTAAGCAAAGACAAATCAGAAATATCATGAACATTTTTATAAATAGTCATGCATCTGCTCAAAGATGCCGCTATTTTATGGAGTCCTTTGGAACAGCAAGTATAGGTTTATAGCGCGTGATAAAATTTTGGACATCACACATTTTGTCATAGTTTCTTAAGAAATCATATTGTTCAAAATGAATTGTGATGTATCAGTTAAGATATTTATTTCTTAGGTCCCTGAGAAAAACCTTTAGTATAATATTATAAATAGGACGTTTAGCTTTTTTGTAGCATATATATAATATTTTTATACGATGCAGAGCCCCGCCTCCGCTTTATTGTGCTTGTAGCAAGAATGGATCGGCTCAACCAGAGAAGGACATCGCTCTCACAGAATACCAGCGGTGACTGTATATAACTGGAGACTTTTTACTGGAACTGAGGCATTTGATTTTAGTCCTCACAACGTATCTGGATTTTGATTTATTATTGAGGATAAATGAAGATGTCTATGGGTCACAGAATCCACGTAAAATCAGGTGGACTGTGTGATCGTTTGTCACTATTATTCTATTAAAAAAGGCCCCCATTGTAGTCATGAGTCAATAGTGAGATTTACCAAGGAAGACTATGAAATATATTAAATTAAGTATTTTATAGTTGAACTTAGTATGTGCAGTAACCAGCCTTGTAATTGATAAAGAATATTTAAGGTCGTAAAATTTGATAATAAAAGACAGTTTTGCTACTTTTCTGATGTGGTAGAGCCATGCTGCAGCTATATTAGTAGTATAGTTATAGCACGAATGGGTCGGCTCGATCGGGGAAGGATCACGCTCTCACAGAATACTAGCGTAAAATAGCAGCTTAACACTGCTGTGTTTCGTATGGTGAGTGTAGAGAACCGGAGACCCTTTTTATTGGAAGAGAGGCATTCCATCTTAGTCCTCACAGGTGACAACGCATCTGCATTTTGATTCACAAACGAGGATAGATGTAGATGTCTATGGGCCACAGCAACTACTTACCATCAGGTGGACTGTGTGCTCGTTTGTCACCCTATCCTATAAAAAAAAACTCTCGGATTATGCCTTTTAACGCACTTTTTAGACATCTTTTCTATGAACTATTATTGACGCCTATTGACTGAAATTAATATTTTCTAACAAATTTAAATTTTAAAAATTGTACCATGAAAAGATTCATTAGCTTTTGCATTTGTTTTAAAATAGATATTCGCACGAGACGAACGAGGCGAACGATGCGGATGAAGCGAACGAGTGCCCTCAGTGCGCAGTAGTGTTGGCACCACCACAGCTGCGCGGGGCGGCAGCAGCTCTTCGGCAGCGCGCTCTCTCACACGCGCTGCTGTTGCGCGTGCTACTCTCCGACACGCTGCACCCGGCGCCACCCGCCAACAACCACTCCATCCTCTTCCTCGATCAGTCGCTGTGGGATGACAAACGTGAAGTACACGTAGTGCAAGCACCGCCCTGTCCCACACATCTCGAAACTGACTGCGATCCAGATTTTGATTCACAAACCCCGATCGAAATCACCGGTGACCATGTAACACTGCGTTATTATGCACCTAATATATTTGACACCGTTGGGCGCTTCGCACCGAAACCTCATCATATAAGAGAGCTGCTTAGACTCGAAATGGAGAATGGTGGTGAAATCGAGGAGGCCGCCTGCGAATGGAGCCTAACGAATCCAGAAAACTTGAATGATTGGTTAGCTACAGAGACGATTAATTATCGAGTACGAGTGTATGTATGCCGTAACGATCCAGATCGAGCCGAATACGAAATGATTTCAAGGGAGATTCTTAGCATTATAAAGTTAAAAAATGTAATGCTGGAAGTAAACATTACTTCCACTGAATGCTCACATGGTGAAGACCTGCACAAGCACTTTCTTAGCCTTTTGAATATGCATTGGGAACAACGAACCATTGGCTGGGTGGCTGCGGGTGTAGGGACGGCGCAAGTGGCGAAACGTGCGCAAGACGTAGACCTACCTTTTATTATTTACGACGCACCACCGATTGCGCTGCGGCCGGATAGTGGAGTACGCGCCGTTACTGGGTCGGTTCAAGTGCTTGCTCGTAGTTACTTGCACCTCTTGAAGCGCTGCGGCTATCAACGCGTCGCTGTAATTTTGGAGAACACAGATTATGCACGCGAGCTTTTAACAATTATTCGTGAAGGTGGCTTGCTCATTCGACAGCGAAATATATCTTCCCAGGAAAGCATCTACGCTATACTAAAGGAGTTTCGCGAGGTGGATGCACGAGTATTTTTCGTAAATGCGAACGCTAGTGTCGCCGCGCAAGTGGTGTGCGCAGCTCAGAAAGCGGACATGACGTCGAACAGTAAGTACGTGTGGCTCGTGCGAGAATGGCGCGGTGCTGTACCGTGTGCGGGCGCAAGAAGTGAACTGAAGCCACTCAGTGTGTCATTGACTTGGCGCGGTGGTTATCAAGTTGTGAAGGCAGCCGTGCCACGTTCTGATGAATGCGCTGCCGGTAGAGAGCAGGAGGGCGCGCGTTGCGATGCATTTAAAGTTCGTCGCGCTCTGGATGCGAGGTGGTCACACCGCGCTTGGCCACCGCTAGGAGCCTCTCTAGCAGACGGACTGCTGCTTCTTGTGCATACGTTTGCGAGCTTTCTCTCTCGTCATCCTGAAAGCGCTTTCGACCGCCGCGTCTTCGGTACTGCTAAGTAAGGTTACGTTGTTTTTGTGAAATGCATTGTTATAATAATATTGATTATTCCATCTCAAAATTTTTATCTCAAATTTTATTTACTGATGTTATTATTCTATTATCTGTCAATGAGCACGACATCGTATTTTCGGTAACAAATGTGTAAATACATTCGAATTATTAGTATATATAATATATATACATTGAAACTACTAATGCCTACTAAATACTAACTACTATGACCATAGCGACTGCTGCTGCAGTCCTTAAACTATCTGCATCCACTTATTTTATACAGTTTTGTACTGCTTTGCTGATAAAACTTATCTTTTCTTCTAATAATGTGGTGGCGACGTATCTAAATTCATCGTCCTATTTCGTTCAGTAAATAGTGAGCAATAAACCGGGTGTTTGTGAAACGCTCCCGAAAACGAAGACAGACGACAGTACTAACTATACCACTGATGCAAAAAAAATCATATTTTCACAACGTTTTATTAGCTTTATTCATGCTCCATCATGTTAGTACAGCTAAATGAAACGATAATTTCATTAAAAAAATAATGAAAATACTTAAACATAAAACCAGCTGTGAAATTACTAAATTACAATCAGCTGACTAGGGGTCAATGTACGCGCAAACGCCGAAATCGCGTGGCCCGCAGCTAGCGGGCCATACCACAATACCTAATAATTTACCACACTTGTCACCATACCACACTACCAGATATGTCATCATCATCATCATTACAGCCCTTCACAAGTCCACTGCTGAACATAGGCCTCCCCCAAAGAATGCCACAAAGCACGGTCCTGAGCCACCTGCATCCATCGACTTCCTGCATATCTTACCAGGTCGTCACTCCATCTAGTGGGGGGACGCCCTACACTTCGCCTGCCGGTACGAGGCTGCCACTCGAGAACCTTTCTTCCCCATCGGTTGTCGGTTCTTCGAGCTATATGGCCGGCCCATTGCCACTTCAGCTTACTAATCCGTTGAGCTATGTCGGTCACTCTGGTTCTACTGCGGATATCCTCATTTCTGAGTTTATCACGCAGAGAAACTCCGAGCATAGCCCTCTCCATTGCTCGCTGAGCGATCTTGAGCTTCCTCATCCGGCCAGCAGTGAAGGACCACGTCTCAGTTCCGTATGTCATCACTGGCAACACGCACTGGGTGTACAGTCTCGTTTTCAAGTTTTGAGGTATACCTGACGAGAAGATGTGCCGTAATTTCCCAAACGCTGCCCAGCCGAGTTGAATCCGTCGATTGACCTCTCGGTCGAAGTTGAACTTACCTAGTCGTACTATTTGTCCCAGGTAAACATACTCGTCAACAACTTCGAGCTTAGTGTTCCCAACAACTACCGGCATAGGTGTGACATGGACATTAAACATGATGTTTGTTTTGTCCATGTTCATCTTAAGACCTATCCACACTATTGAGGTCATTGAGCATTGTGCTTAGGTCCTCCAGCGATTCTGCCATAAGGACTATATCGTCGGCAAATCGAAGGTAAGTGATGTACTCGCCATTGATGTTGATACCGTATCCTTTCCAGTCCAGAAGCTTGGAAACATCTTCCAATGCAGCGGTAAAGAGTTTCGGGGATATGACGTCACCCTGTCTTACACCTCTCTGCAATTGGATAGGTTTCGTACTCTGATTCTGTACTCGGATAGCCATCGTAGCCCTACTGTACAAGCACTTCAACACTTCGATATACCGACAGTCAACTTGGCATCGCTGAAGGGACTGCAGCACCGCCCAAATTTTGACGGAATCAAAGGCTTTCTCATAGTCCACATATGCCAGACATAGTAGCAAGTTGTACTCCTCGGACTTCTGTACAATTTGCCGAAGGGTATGTATGTGGTCTATGGTGCTAAAGCCTTTTCGGAAACTGGCTTGTTCGGGAGGCTGGAAGTCGTGAAGTCTGCGCGCGAGACGATTCGTAATGACTCTCGAAAATAGCACGTAGACGCGGCTCAGAAGGGAAATCGGTCTGTAGTTCTTCAAGAGAGCGTTATGTACCTATTCAGAACAGGTCAGTACTAAGTTGTTTAAAAAAATTAGGTATGAAACGGCTTACCGCTCTAAATCCTCCTTGGCCTTATGAGATTCGGCTCAAATTGTGTTCCATTCATTTCGAGGCATATTTGGGCTCAGTGTTGCATCTCCTCATGCAGGCGGGGCATCATCGTCATAGTGTGTCTTCGACACAGTTCGTACGTAGTTTGTCGAAAACATCCACGATCCTTTGGCGCATTTAGTCAGCACTATCATACTCACGATTAAAAACCCTTTCTTTCACATACCCCCATAGAAAGAAGTCTAACGGGGTCAGATCTGGTGAGCGAGGTGGCCAAGCGTAAGGCGTTCACGGACGAACCTCACGACATGTGGAGGTGCACCATCATGCTGGAACCATGTGCGGCGATATTCAGCCAACGATAGGTCGTCTAAAATGTCAACTAACTGTTCATTTATAAAGTTTAGGTATCGCTGTCCGTTAAGTCGCTGTGGCAGAAACACTGGTCCCAGTATGCGATCCTTAAATAAACCTGCCTTGCCTTTGGTGCCTGGTTTTTCGAACAGCGTGCGGGTTAACCTCTGAATACACGTGTGTATTTCTTCGGTTCCACAGGCCGTTTCTGGTAAATGCGACTCATCCGTCCAGATAACGTGCTCAATGGAACCAGACACACGTTGTTGTTGGTCTAATAACCAACAGCAGAAAACTCGTCGGCGGTCGTGATCGCCGGGAACTAAAGCTTGCACTTTGTGCACTTTGTATGGGCGCATTTGGTTACGCTTTAACACTTTGTGAACTGAATAGTATGACACACTTGTTCGTTCCCGACGCCTTAATAATTTAGCGATACTTACGATAGGTTCGGATACCGGCGAACGACATCTAAAATGTGCTCCTCGGAGTGAACAGCCGGAGTGAACTTGACTTCCACCTCCTGCCGCTACCGGAGCAATAGGCCGATTTTCCAACACTTGCTGAAATGCTATCAGACGAGAGTCAGCTGGGTGTCGAGTGGCCGGGAATTTCTCTCGGTAAATTCGTAATGCATGCGAAGCATTCCCGCAAGCTACTCCAAGGCATATTAACATGTTTCCGTATTCACGAGCACTATAAACGTACGCGTTAGGCATTATTGAAACAAACGAGGAACACAAAACGTAACAACAAGAATAACACATAATAACAAGTAGGTAATACCAAGTAATAACAATAAGAATTTAATAAACAAAACGATTGAACTGTCGCTCACTCACGAGTGTCCAAAGTCAACACGGAACTGTCTCAAAAACTAAAATTAATAATGAAACCCGCCAAAACTGAAGCCTACTGCGTCCTAAAGCCGCGTCTCCACCAAAGTTTTGTTGCCAACACAACAGTTGGTAACAAAATTTGTTTCCATTTTCGGCGGCAACATCAAAGGAATACGCTTGTTGCCAACATTTTTCCCCCGGTGGAGACGCTTGTTGGAAACAGTTGCAAACAGTTGGAAACATAACTGTTGTCAACATTTTTGGTGAATACGCGGCTTAACGTCCTTGCGGTAAACACTTTGAACATTCCCACAGACCGTAAAACGTTATGACATTGCCAACTTTTATTTTATAAGTTTAGTTTCCATATGATCCCTACGTCTAGTCTTCATATGGAATTTAGAAATTATAGTTGTAATTTTTTAATACAATTAGACAATCATTTGTACCCTGACAAACAAGCAGTTCGTTACTACAAAAATGATATTGAAATTAATAAACGTACTTACTTGGGTACTCACTTATACAATTATAAACACTATTTCATCGTTATCTTTGATTTTGTACAAGAAAATAGAAATGAAATGGTATTGAATAATTTAAATAAATCTTAAATATGGTGCAATGAAAGATTTCAAAAAAGGGAGTCATTTCATATTCATGAGCAAACTAACAAAAATGTTAAGATTTGTATATCGATTTTCAAAATACCCGCATTTTCCGCGCATAATATCAATCCCCATTCTTTAAATTTCCCGCAATTTAGGGAATTCCCCGTATGTTGAAAACGTTGACACGAGGTGACACACAGTTGGCCGGGCGGCGGCAGCGCGTGGTACGAAGGGGGCGCGACGAGGAATGCTCACCAGTATTATTGTGCGCGCACGCTATTGGTTCCTCATTCTTCCCGCGCTTTGAAAATTCGATGTTTCCCAAAATACAGTCGCACACACAGCTTTCTTTGCAGGACGCGCGACGATGGTTTTAAAAAGGAAGGAAAGAAGTGAACGAAAAGGTAAATATGATGGGAGAAGGTGACTGGGGAAAATTGTGCAGTAAAGTAAAATGTATTTAGGAAGAATACCGAAAAATTACCATGTGGTCGACCTGATGACGGAAACATTTATCATTTGCCTTGATGATAATGATTCTGATGACGGAAGCTCAAGCGAAGATGAAAGTGATGATGAAGTAGCATCCAGTAACACCAACACACCATCGACATCTGGCTTCCATGTGACCTAAGACGATATAATGGACGACGTGTCACCGTTAGCTTAAGTTTTCTTGTTACAAACTACTTTACATTTTACGACAGAAATAAAAAATTATCCATTTTTAATTCCAACCTCTTCCAAAGTTCTAAGTAGCTAGTAAAGTTCCTATTATAATTCTACAATAAAACCATTAACTACTATTATAATATTATAAAACAATAGCATAGTACCATGTGGTACTTTAGAACGCGACTGTACCCATCACCACACAACCCTTCGACTGTCGCTCAGCGTTCTTTTTAAATGACGGGACCTGTACCGAGCTAGATAAAGGAGTTTGGCTTCGACGCGGATATTGACCCTAGTCAGCTGATTTTATGATTTATTTATTTTAAATTCCGCACACACACACATACATTGTGTGTCTGAGTGAGTGTGTTTGTGTGTGTGAGTGTGAGTGTGAGTGCGTGCGCACGCGCTCGCGCGCGTGTGTGTGTGTGTGTGTATGGATGTATGTAATTCTTTCATAACTTTTAAATGGCTTTTTTTATAGGAGAGGGGGCAAACGAGCATGCGGCTCACCTGATGGTAAGTGACTACCGCCGAAAGGAGTAGGCTCTTTTTTTGAAGGTCCCTAAGTCGTATCGATCCGGAAAAATCGCTGGTGGTAATCGATTCCACAAGGAAGTTGTGCGAGGAAGAAAACTACTTCTAAATTGCACAGTGGTGGACCGCCAATCATCCACATGGTATGGATGGTATCGCGAGTTTTGTCGCGATGTGCGATGGTGAAATTGGGCGGCTGGAATTAGTCCGAACAATTCCTCAGAGCACTCCCCGACGACTACCGATAGAAGCGATAAAATACGCAAAGAGACGCAACATCTCTCCGCAGTGCCAATGAGTCAAGCCGATCGGAAAGAACTCGGTCGTCGACGATTCGAACCGCTCTGCGCTGGATGCGGTCAAGTGGAAGGAGCTGGCACTGGGGAGCCCCTGCCCAGAGATGGGAACTCTATTCCATGTGAGGCCGAACTTGTGCCTTGTAAAGTTGCAAGCGGTGTGCCGGCATGAAATACTGTCCCGCCCTGCTGAGCACGCCAGGCTTTTTAGAGGCCAATTTGGCCTTCTCTTCCAAGTGACCACGAAACTGCACGTCACTCGATATGTCGACACCAAGGATCCCGATACTGGCTGAGGCAACAAGGGGAATGCCTTGAAACTGAGGAGATACGACTAAGGGGTTCTTTTTAGCGGTAAACGCGCAAACTTGTGTCTTCTGGGGATTGAACTATACTAGATTTAGTCGACCCCAGTCTGAGACTTTGTTCAACAAAGTCTCGACTTCAGACACAAGTTTGTTACGGTACTAGGCGACGTTTTCCCGAGAAATATTGGCACGGCCGGTGTATAGAGCATCACCAGTGCTATCATCCGCATAGCAATGAATGTTACTGGTTTGCAACATATCATTGATATGCAGAAGAACCAGCGTTGGTGATAGCACGCAGCCTTGTGGAACACCAGCGTTAATGGACTTGTAGTCGGAGTATGCACCGTCTACTACGACCTTGATGCTCTGATCTGCAAGAAAACTGGTGATCCAATTGCACAATTTCTCGGGAAGCCGGGAAGGGAGCTTCGAAAAAAGCGCTTTGTGCCAAACCCGATCGAAGGCCTTCGCTATGTCCAAACTAACGGCCAACGCCTCCCCCTTGGACTCCACTGCCTCCACCCATCTATGAGTTAGGTAACCTAAAAGATCAACAGCTGAGCGACCTCGACGGAAACCGTACTGGCGGTCACTAATCAGCTGGTGATCCTCAAGGTACCGCATGAGCTGGCTGTTAATAATGGTTTCCATTACTTTGGAGAACAAGGAGGTGATAGCAATATGCCTGTAGTTGGACGGATCTGAGCGGTCGCCTTTTTTTAGGGATCGGGTGCACCAAAGCTGTCTTCCATGAGTTCGGGACTACGCCAATGGAGTAGGAGTACCGGAAAAGACGCGTTAAAACCGGTGCCAACTCCGGAGCACACGTCTTCAGCACAATAGGTGGGACTCCATCAGGCCCGCTCGACTTGTTGACGTCCAGGGAGAGGAGTGCTTTACGCACCGAGCGCTGTGTAAACAGCACTTCCTGCATGGAGCACTCACACCGCGGGATGGTCGGCGGTGTATTCCCCCCGTCATCTAGAGTCGAGTTGGAAGCAAAAAGAGAGCCTAGCAGATCGGCTTTCTCTTTTGCGTCATGGGCCAGTGGGTCGTCCGCCCTTTGCAGAGATGGCAGAGATGACTGACAGAAGTTCCCTTGGATAGCTTTGGCGAGAGACTAGAATGCACGTGTTCCCGAAGGGAGGCGAACTAATTTCTCGCCAAATCTGCCGATGTGCTCTAACTTTGCCTTGGCAATGACACTTTTGAAGGACCTGGAGGCGGAATTATACTTCTTTTTAAGAGCGCTGGTATTTACATCCCGGGACGTTGATGCGTCGGCCCAGGTTCGGTAGCACTCCTGCTTATAGCGTGATGCAATTTTGGAGAAGTGACCAAACCATGGCTGATTTCTGCCTCCGATAGGCACCACAGATGATGGAATAAATAATTCTATTCCCTGAAGTACCACATCAGCGACAGAATCAGCAACAATGTTGGGATCATCCGGCGCGAAGCAAACCCGCCTCCAAGGGTAGGATACAAAAAAAGACCGCATCCCGTCCCAATCAGCCGACCTATAGTGCCAAACACGCCGGCAAGCTGCAGATCGCAATTGCGATTGGAGCGTGAGTGGCACCGTACTCCGGAACAGACAATGGTCCGAAGAGCCCAGAGGGGCATCGATGGAGACCTGATATCCGTCCGGATGAGAGGTCAGCAGAAAGTCCAATAGGAAAGGTACATGATCCTCCACATCTGGGATCCACGTAGGCGAAGTAACCAGTTGTGTCAGACCATATGCCAAGGCAAAGTCAAAAACAGATCTCCCCGCATGATCGGTTAAGCGTGAACCGAGCCATTCGGCGTGGTGGGTGTTGAAATCACCAAGAATCACGATCTCTGCGGATGGGACCTGTTAGAGCACGGAGTGTGCAGCCATTTGGACGTGGTCGATGAGTCAGTCTGTGTCGGCATTACCGCTATGGGACCTATAGAGGCACCCGTAGACGCGGGGATGGTCGTCGCTGTCTACGCGTAGCCATATGATGGACAGGTCCTTACCTTCAAGACTGCCGAGGCGTCGAAAACAGATGTCCTCTCTGACGTACACGCAAACTCCAGCCCGGGACACGAACGAGTGTTCTAATTTGTACCCCGGGTAGGAGAGATACGAAGTATCAGCCGGAGAGGACACCTGTGTCTCGGTTCGAAAGAGCAAGGCCGGCTTAGCTATCTCCAGATGGTAGTGGACGGTGTTAAGGTTTGAATGAAGTCCCCTGATATTGCAGAAATCCACGGAAAGCGTGGCAGGGTTTGCCTTTGTCTTCTTGCTCCGCTTACCCCGAGCAGGTTTCGTCTTGAGCGGAATTTCGCCCCCCCTCCCCCACATAATACGCGGGGCAGCCTGAGCACTCACGCCCAGGAGTGGAGTAGTTTGGTCGTGGATGCTCAGCGAGGGTGCTGGTACCCTCCTGGGGTAGTCTTCTGTTCAATTCCGCTACACGGGGGGCTACCTGCACTCACCAAGCGGAACGCAGAGGTAAACCTCTACTTCTTTACTGGTATTCTGTGAGGTCGTGGTACCACCCCGATTCGAGGCGGCCTATCCGTGCGACAGCAGAAGCTGCCGCGTGGCTCTACCACTGTTAAACTTAACTGATTTGGCCGAACTTGGCGGCGTACGAAAGGGCTTCACTAAACTTCCTTTTTGAAGTCGGCAGAAAATAGATTTCTCGTCTCTAATATCGTGATTGATAATTAATTTTCAAGTTTCTGACTTTCTCATATTGAAAGTAAAAATTATTATCGGCCCAGTTATTACTTGTTTTAAAAATTATTTTCATTGTTTCAGAATATTTTCGGAGGCTATAAATCACACACTTGTAAAGGGAGTTATCCAAGAACTGAAATATAACAACAATAACCAAGAGCTGTCCAGCTCGCTCGTGTTTTTGGACAGGTGGAATGACAAACAGCGATCTCTGCTGGCTGTTTGGAACATGACCGAACGCGACGTACAACTGATCTATGAGCGAGAGCAAATTTGTACAAGTGGGTTTGTCGGTCCATCCTCCTGCCTTACGACCAGCTCTGGAGATCCATTTGCTCCGCGATGCCATGATTTTGCCTGGCTAACGTTGACAATTATAATGATAATAGCACCCATCGGCTTATTTTATGCGCGCCGCGCCCGTATACATCGTCTTAAACTACGCGACCTCGCCTTGCTTGAACAAATACTGGAGCAACGTAAAAGTAATTATTCAAAGTTTGCGTCGTATGTAGTGCAACGTAACGAATTTGAACTGCGAGAAGAGTTGGGGTCCGGAGCTCATGGCCATGTGCGTGTCGCCGTCCTGCGCCGCCTGGGCAAATCGCCACTGGCCGTTGCTGCAAAGGAAGCGCGCGAGGAAAAATTGCTAGACGAGGCAGAACTGATCCGCGAAGCATGCGTTCTAGCATCACTTAAACACGAGAATATAATTTGCTTTTTAGGAATATGCTTAGATGGAAAAGCGCTGTTGTTTATGGAGTACGCATTTTTCGGTGATCTATGGCACTATCTACGTACGCGTCGACCACTTGCTGAGTTCGCGTGCAGCACCTTCAGTAACAGTTTTACAGAAGAGTTTGATGTTGTGGAAGCGACTTACGTGTCAGCACCTGCACTCACACAGCTAGCAGCGCAGGCAGCAGCGCCTTTGGATTACCTAGCGACTAAGCGCATCGTGCATCGAGACGTGCGCGCTGCCAACTGTCTCATCGATGAGACGCGAACTCTCAAGCTTGCCGACTTTGGCTTGGCTCGTGCTCTCGCCGGGGAAAAAGAAGAGTATATCCAGCAACACTTTAGGCGACTACCTGTGACTTGCATGGCGCCGGAGAGCCTTATGAATGACGAATTCTCAAACGCATCGGACGTCTGGGCGCTTGGTGTGCTGATGTTAGAATTGGTGACGCTGGGCACGCCGCCTTACGGCGAGTGCGTGGCGGCGAAGATCATGAGGCGCTTGCGTGTCGGCGAACACCCTCCGTTGCCGCCAGATGTTACGCCTCTCGCGTAAGTATAATAATGTAGAAGCTATTTTATACGGGACCAGTAATCTACGAGTTTACGTAAGAAAGACAATGCTGTATCAGTTGTATCTCTCTACAGTTGCCGTAAAACGGTATTCAAACCAGTCTAGCGATGACTTGGGTGATAATTTTTTCCCAGGACATCAAGAGGCATTGAGGATTTCTTTAATCGTGCAACTAAATCTTCATCTGATATGAAAAAATTGCGCGAACTACAAGGTTTGCGAACACCGTCGCTTCATGTATTTTATGTCTGGGTTAGCAGTTCTAGTTTAAGATCATTTTCTAAGAAAAAAACATTTTCCCATATACAGATATTTCTTTTTACCATTCCTTGCCAGAAAATCTTCAGGCGTGTTTTTCCTACCTAACCTCTTTGAGTAACATACAAATTATTACGACCCAAGCAGCAAACAAGCGTTATGAACATCAATATACCAGTCCACATAGAACATAGAGCTCTTTTAGAAGCATATAACAGTGTTGAAAAGAGGTTGTATCCTTATAAGAGTAGTTTATGAGTTATTATGGGATTTTGCTATGGCGGCTGATTCAGAAACTATTTTTGTTTTACAGAAGACGGCCATTAGAGCTATTTACAATCTAAAACCGAGAGAGACTCTTAGAGATAAATTTAGAGAAATAAATATATTAACTTTGGCCTCTCAGTATATTTACGAAAATTTAATGTATGTTCACAAAAACAAGGACAGTTTTAGTAAAAAAAAGTGATATATACTCTGTAAACACTAGGAACAAACACAAGCTAGTAATATCGGTCTCTCGACTGCACAGAGTCAGTAATTTATTCTTGGAGCAATGTATACGCTATTACAACAAAATCCCAGAAAATATAGAAGCTCTCTCTATTACTACTATTATTTATTCTGTGCTATTACCAAGTTTAAATATTTTATTAAACTAAAAGTGTCTAAAATGGGTTATTGTAATATATAATACAAATGAATATAAATGGTTGATAACAACCCTTGAGAATGAGATGGTCGCTTCCAAGCTGTTTTTTTTAAATAAATTTTGTAAATAGTTTGTGTAAGCATTCATGTAAAATTTACTTTTAAAAAAAAGTCCCGCTGGGTATCTTGCCGGGACAGAAGGTTTATTTGGAACCAGTGGTAACGTAAAAGAGAAAATGACTTTCAATAAGAATTACATAGGTATGTGATCTATATTGAATAAAACTATTCTGTTCTATTCTATTATAGGTACAGCTCAAACTGAATAATGTCTGTATTATGGGATCTAAGTAAGCTTGGGGTTCTTAATCAGAATATGAAACTCTAGTATACAACTTTAAGTATTGTAAATGTAAGTACAGTGCTACTAACGCATAAAGCTGTATAATTTGTGCCAATTTTTTTACTTATAAAAACTATATAAGCTCTTATGCATCCTTTATATAGCCAGAAAATACAGCTGCGAGTATAAAAACGAATTTCAATACAGCTCGTAGACAGCTTGCATGCTGCTTGGGGTATCACCCATCGGTAATATGGGAGGTTTATCAAAGTTAAGGCTGATTTCTTTATCAAAAACATAATCATTTTTAATAAGTTTACTTCTAAAAACATTCCTGCAATAATCATAATTTGGCTTCTCAGTGAAATCTAAACTTGTAATGTACTGTTGATATTTTTCCATAAACTGTGGCTAAAATTCAGTCTTAAAACAGGTTTTTTTATTAACAATTTAATATCACTTATGAAGTTTTGCTTCAAAGCATGCACTAAATCTGGTTCAGCAAGAACCTCTGTAGTATTCCAAGGTAGTTACGGTAAACCAATCGAGGATATTGTAACCAAGGGTCTCTAAGCCAGACCTTCTAGAATGTGCCCCAATATAGAAATTTGTTCAACTATATTCCAGAGTTCCATCATGAGCTTTCCTAGTATCCATACCAAAATCTTTGTGATTCTGAATCTAAAGATTAAGATGAAAAACCATAATCTAGTAAAAATATTTTTGACCGTTACATTGTGACGAAATTGCTTCCCTGTGTAGTTGATCCAAATCATTTTATAAACTTTTTATTTAATCCGTGCTGACCCGAAATTGAGTTACCTAACGGCTATTTTTAAAGCTAATGTACTCATCTTAGATCATTGTGTTAGTGTCACTAACCTTGTTTAAAAATGAAAGCATGCTATCATGGATTTTAGTAAAGTTTCTTTTTAGAAGTAGGTACATATTTTGTAGAATTAGTCTCCAATTGAATCCAATGCAAGACGGCTCGATGGAAGTCAGCAGTAATGCATGTAGCAATGAAGTGTGATAGCATGTACAAATACTACTACTGTGCACTACGCCCTCTGCGTATGGTGTTAGGTCTTGGTGGGTTCATATCCCGGGTCGTGCAAAAATCTGTTAAGTATTTGGGTTTATGTTAAGAAATTCTCAATAGCAGCTCAGAGTCAGAAAGTTTTCGGTGTTTCACCCTCGTGCCTCTAAAAACACGTAAAGCCGTTGATCCAGCGCCTGATAAGCCTATAAGGCTGACGACAAACGAGCACACAGTCCACCTGATGGTAAGTGGTTGCTGCGGCCCATAGACATCTACATCTATCTTCGATTACGAATCAAAATGCAGAGGCGTTATCACCCGTGAGGACTAAAATGGAATGCCTCATTTCCAGTAAAAATGGTCTACGGTTCTCTATACTCACCATACGAAACACAGCAGCGTTAAGGTGCTATTTTACACTGGTATTCTGTGAGAGCGTGGTCCCTCCCCGATCGAGTCGATCCATTTGTGCTACAATGCCAGTAATGTAGCTGCAGCATGGCTCTACCACGTATTAACAGTAGTAATATTTAGTAATACGTAGTGTTTATAATGATAGCGTCAGAAAACTAGCGTTAGCACTGGTTTTTTTTTATAGGATAAGGGTGACAAACGAGCACACAGTCCACCTGATGGTAAGTGGTTGCTGTGGCCCATAGACATCTACATTTATCCTCGATGAGGAATCAAAATGCAGATGCGTTTTCACCCGTGAGGACTAAAATGGAATGCCTCGTTTCCAGTAAAAAGGGTCTCTTGTAGCCTCGTTTCCAGTAAAAGGGTCAAATGTAAATCTGTCATAACGCGTATCCCTGCAGCTAAGACTGTTATTGATTTGTTTGGTAACATTGCAATTGCAGGCAGGAGTTGTTAGTGCAGTGCTGGCGGCGCGCCCCGCGCGAGCGGCCGAGCGCGGCGCGCGTGCTCGCCAGCCTGCGCTCGCACCCCTCCACTCTACAGCATATATTTAATACTAAATACAGTGGAATATCATTATCTCAATAACTCGAACAAAAAAAGGCCACACCCTTCTGCTGAACCGCTAAATACACGTGAGTCAAAGTTAGTAAAATGTAATGACGTCTTACTTGGAATTCCTCGAACTCATGTCAATAAAATCCAAAATAAATTATTGTTGTTTCTGTTCTATTGTGTGTACTTTGAAATGTGTACTTGGGAAATGAATGAAAACCTTTATTAGACTTTCTAAGTAACACATCTTGCATAGATGTTTATGTTTGTTTATATTTGGGGAAAATCTCGAAATTCTTGTTAAATCAATTTTAATTTCCCTTGAAATTAGAGTTATCGAAATTACATTGTATTATAATATTTAAGGCACTTTCCTACGTATGATACAATATGTTCTATCATCTGTATTCTCTCTGATTCAACAAATTAACATTTGAAATTGGAAACAATAAAGTGTTAAATTATTTTTCTTGTACAAGCCCAGTTCGAAGCGTCAGTAGCCTAATGGCAGGGTGAGGACCGTGAACTCGAAAGCTCTTAGGTTCGAATCCGCCATTTGACTACTGTCGTGAACCACTTCTAACACAAGCAATTTAAGCTTACCAGAAGTGGTTAAAGGGAATATTAGTAATGTTTAATAGCATTACTAGTATTTTAATAAAATAATAGTCTTTTATAAATCATATAAGTTTCCTTTTTTACATGGCCGCTTCGGGGAAAATTACAGTATCATAAAGTAAGGGACGATAAATCAATATCATCATTACAACAACATTATTATCATCTTAATTATTACAGCCAATGCCGGCTCAAAGTTCAAAAACATTATTAAACTAAGTTTGTATAAAAAGGGTTATTATAATATTAAGGAATTTATGGATGATAATAACCCCTGGAAATGAGGTGATCGCTACCAAGCTATTTCTAATTTGTTGAGTTGTTAATTTGTGTAACATAATATATTATGATTGTAAGCTGTTATCTAAAAAAAAGTCCCGCTGGGTTTCTTGCTGGTTCTTCCCAGGACAGAGGTTTTTTTTTTCAAACCAGTGGTAATTAAACAAAAGAGTGACTTTCAGTAAGTATTATTTATAATCTATATTGAATATTTCTAATTTCAAATAAAAAGTCCACCGCTGAACACAGGCCTCCCCATAGATTGCCGCGTACTGAGGATATTCGCCATAGTTGCCACGCTTGGCGGGCGAGTTGGCGACTGCAATTTTATATTTTTAAGTTTTTATTTTGATAGTAAGAAGATGCCGCTGGCCATATCCTGTTTTATTTCTCTGTCGCCTCAAAGAGCGCCCACGAGCTGATATGTGGAAGTGGATCCTCTGCACGGCGAATTTATGTTATTTCGTACATTTTTATTATATAAGTGAAGTGACAAACGAAATTACAGCTCATATATTAATGATTAGTGCAGCCCATGGACATGTGTCACCAGCAAACTACTTGAAAAAAAGAAGGCTTTACGTGGTAGAGCCATGCTACAGCTATATTAGTAGTATAGTTGTAGCATGAATGGATCGGCTCGACCGGGGAAGGACCACGCTCTCACAGAATACCAGCGTAAAATAGCAGTTTAACACTGCTGTGTTTCGTATGGTGAGTGTAGAGAACCGGAGACCCTTTTTACTGGAAACGAGGCATTCCATCTTAGTCCTCATGGGTGACAACGCATCTGCATTTTGATTCTTAATCGAAGATAGA